TTTGCACAGATTTGGACTTTTTAAGGCTATGGTCTTAAACTTTTGATCAGCTGATGAACAGCCTGTTTGAGTTTAAATGCAGTTTTCAATAAATCGCCTACTCTATTTTTTTTTTCTCTTGCTCCTGGTTCTTCTTTTTGCATTTTGAAGCTCTACTTAGAACTTAGAACCACATTCCACCAACGCAAAATGCGAATACTTGCAATTTTTCCCCCGGTCTTAAGCTTTTGTTCAGGAGTGTATAGTGCCATCCATTTTTTGTTCTGTTCACCTTCCAAAATCAGAAGTTCTCAAGAAAGATATTCTGGGGTGGTTCATCCCTGATCTGCCCCCGTGGATATACTTTTTAACCCTCCACCGACACTTCAAGCTTACAAGCCAACATGTGAACAATGCCTCTTGTGTTGCAGCTCTTTGTTGCATTCTTGTATCCTAAAATGATAATAGATAAAAGCAGCATACTTACTCCTGGAGTCCATGTCAATTCCAAAATCCACATTTTTGAAGAGAGGCTTCTGTTTCTCATAACCAAAGTCAACACCTGTACAGGAGAGAAAGCATGGAGTCATTTGACAGATAATCTGTTAAAAGAATCTGGTTCCTCTGGCTCCTAGGGCTCCTAATGGCATTTGCAAGAATCCACCGGGGCTGAACAAAAACAGCTAATCAGAGCTGAGAAAGAAAGTTGATTATTAACTGAGCAACACATAGTAATTTGAACAACTAACAACAAACAATAGTTGACAGACATTGTTGTCCCCATCATGACCTGTCTCCTTCAAGATTTACCTGTGTTCAGCTCAGCCTCATATGTGGGACAGGCAGCTGTCACCTGTGCTTCAGAAAGATTTTCTGTACAGTGAAAAAAAACAGCCCCGAGCTGCAGATGTTCTTACTGTGTAGTCCCAGTATGGGTGGTGAGAGAGGAGGTGGGTTGGGGAAGGTGAATTTGACAGTGTACTCTTTAGGCCTCTTCAGCAGCTCTGTGGCGTCCTGGCTCTCCTCCTCCTGGCCTCCCTTCTTCTTGCCTTTCTGCTGCTTCCTGGTCAGGGCGTCCTTAGTTTGCTTCTCCTGAGAGGTAACATTTAAAAAAACATTTATAAAAACTGGTGTTAGATACAAAACCGTTGAGCTGTTTCTAATCGGTATGAGGAAGTATGAGGCTACCAAACAATCTTTTTTAGTCGTTAGTCACTAAGGGTTTATATATAGCAGAAAAACACGTCAAACAACAGGTTAAGAATTTCAGATATTCTTTTTTTGGGGGGGACTTTTATTGCCTTTATGATAGTGACAGCTGGAGATAGACAGGAAAGGGGGGCAGAGAGAGGGGATGACAAACAGCAAAGGGCCGCAGGTTGTGATTTGAACCCTGGGCTGCTGCAGTAAGGACT